AAGTTTGGGTGCAAGATTGAAATGAAAGCTGTTAGATATTTAGTACGCAGAAACGATATCAGTAGCTGAAAGTAAAACGCTTAGCTGCTTCAGAAAGGTAGAAATACATCTTGGAATTCATAGTAGCAACCTTTCAGTTTCCTCCTTTAACTCAACCTCCTGTTTATATGAGCTTTGGTCCACAGAAGACAACAATGTCTCTGGAAAATGTCCACATGTTGGATACGGTTTGTTCTGAGTTCGGAGTGGGTCTGACTAGTTATTGGGGACATCTGGGACCGGATCAGGATGGTCTCTCTCCAGCACCTACAGCTTGTCTGTTCCTCTTTGGAGCAGGTCATCATCTGGTCATCTGGTCATCATCCTGCAGCTCCTGCCTACCCCTGAATTTGAAAGAGATCTTTGTCTACCCTCTCCCTACAAAGACTATAGATATCACAGCCTATCTTCCATTTAACTGCCCACTACACGCGTACCTGCTCACCGCAGCATCATCTCAGATGAACAACACAGAAGCTACTCTTACAAACTAGACAAACTTCCAGAAGTTCCCTTCTATGTGATATATAGAATGCTGCCGGACAGTATCACTAGTAAGGGTCAGCAGTACCCCAGTGGTTCTGAGCACAACCTGAGATGGTGCCGTCGAATAGTTTGACAGAATACCCTTCGAGCTCCTTCGGCCTTACAAGGTCTAGCCCCAGATCCAACCCATAGCTAGGTGGAAACATCTCTCTGCTTTGCCTCCTCTCCTCCCTTTAGGGTCTAACGAATAAAGACTTGGCTATTGGCGTTGGGTAGTCTGGTACACCATCCAATCAATCCAAAATAGGAACATTGCTTGGGTCCAAAACAGAGAGAGAAACACTGAGACTCACCCATCACAAGCCTCCAGGTTAATCTGACCATGAGCTGAAGGAGATCACAAAAGAAGTCAGAGCCTTCCTTCCCATGGCTTACAACCTCAGGAAGGCAGCCCCCGTTCTGCCTGAGGACAGCTCCAATGGAGGGCTAGCTAGCCATGGACTTGTTAGCGCCCAGTGTCTTTACCACTGGGGAACCTCAGAGTGGGAGTTCAGACCCTCTGCAGAAGCACGTTTGCAGAGCCCACATGAGTCCCCTTTTCTGAGGGATTTTCTCCAGTAGCACCACACCACTGTCTTTGATGTGTTCGACCTTTGTGCCACATATTCAACCCAAACTGAAAAAGTCACACGGTCCAAACATGAGACCATCACGGCCTAAACTTAATTTCCGCTCAAAATGCGCTACAAGCGTTTCCTTTTTAAACGTTTGAGTCAGAAAATTGCACTCAGACATTAAACAGAAAAGCTGTGGTCGGTTCCACATACTCATTTAGGTCCCGAAGACCAAAACACACTGGCCCACTCGCATGCATAAGCTGCACACACACACACACACACACACACACACGTACACACACATACACAAAGCATAAGCAAACGTTTCATAGGGAACAGCACACAGTGAAGGAGCACAAAGTCATCGATATGTTTACAGCAGGAGCCAGTTGGTGTTTCACAATGGGCTGCACAGTCCACACACACACACACACACACACACACACTCACACAGAGTGTTTTACTGTCTGTTTGTGGTGCCTGATTTGACATTCATACCAAATGTGACCAATAAAACACCAGTGAGACAAAAAGGAAGGAGGAAAATCCCTCTCTCACTGACTGCATATCCACTTTTTTATTTATTTTCGGGATGTACTCAGAGTTTCTCTCTTCTTTCGTCCTTTTTTGACTTCATAAGTATCTTCGGCTTTAGGCTCATATGGTGTTCTTACTGGGAGAAAAATATAAAGGTGAGTACAGAAGTCTTTCCCTGATAAACTGACAAACAGTGCAGATACATTTCTATAAGGCAGAAATCGGTCTTTAAAAAAAAAGTAATCTGTTTAGATACAAATGGGAAGGGGTTAGCATATATCTGCTTGTTTGTCTGTGTTTTCTTTAAAGTATTCCAATAAAAACAAGGCTTTTTCAAAAGGAATGTGCCAAAAACTGTTACCGTTTCATCAAACGGTTATTATCTCACACCTTTGTAACCCTTACTCTAAAACTACAGTTTTTTTGTTCTGTGGTCCAGAAATGCGACTTGTTTTAAGAGATAATTTTTCCCCCTCTAATTTTGTGCCCGTTTGTGCATGCATGTATCACACATGCATTGCCGTGTCTCACACATGCTGGCTCCCAGGTGGGAGAAGGGAATCCAGCCTTGTGTTATCTTTTCCAGTCAGGGCAACAATCAGCCGGGTGAGGTGTTCTCACAAAAATACACTCCTCTTCCCCTCTCGCTTTCCACACATACAGAGGCGCGCACACACCCTTTCCGAACATCCCAAACTTCCACAGGGGTTCCCTCCTGGTTTCGCGCATTCCTGTCGGTTCCCTCAGCAACAAACGCAGATAAAATAGTGAGAACATGCAAGGGGACTTTAGTTTTTACAGTCCAGTTCAATATATCTGTTTTCAAACCAAGAGATCATTTAACATGAAAGATAACAGAACATGGCTTTATAGGAAACACAGATATGAAAGAAAACCGGAAATATGAAGTCCATGAAGTGAGTAAACAGGAAAAAGAAGTCCAAAAATGCCATGAATGCATGGAATTCTCGGCAGGCTGGACGGTGGAAGGTGAAGAACAGATCCATGGTAGGCTGGAAATTATAATCAAGCAGTTAAATCCTATTTTCTAATGGCAGTTATTCAATAGGAACTGTTCCAACCTGGACCAGCGCACACCAAATGAGCACATGGTCTCACTTTTATTGGTCTAATCACAGATGTTAATCTGTGTGACACAACTCTCCTAATTCTGGCCAGAAATGCTTTAAAAAAAAGAGACATGAATGCCCACATAAGCAGATTTAAAAGTATTTATTTGATAGAATTATTGTTTATATTGAAACATTTACAGAGAAGCCACATTTAAAAAAAAAAAAAAAACTCTTTCGGCTTTCAAAAAATCCAAAAAGTGATCTCACATCAGATTTAGAAACAACACTGTGAAGCTTCTGGGAAAATCCTGGTTTTAATTCTTCCTCAAATGACTGCTGAGAAATGCTCTTTGATTGAATTCCAAAATCCTGCCTAATTTTTTTTTTCTTCTTCAGATAATTATTACCAAAAGCCTTTGTCTTATTGCACAGCTCCATCAAACACCACTGAACATAGTTTTCCAACTTTCTCCCTGAAGTCTTTGTGTGTTACAGTAAATTAAAAAGCCTGATGACAACAGAAAAGAATTTCAAATGCAAATGCAAAAGTTTCCTACAAACGCATTTATATATTTCTATATACAAATGTACCCACACACACACATATACATATATACATATATAAAATGCATTTGTGTTTGAAAGTCTTATCGAGTGAAAATAGACCATTTAATTCTAAAGAAGGAATGTTGGGAACAATGTGTTGGTGCTCAGTGTCAAACCGATGACTTCCCCAAGGAGCTGAACGGCAAATGTAACTGGTTTTACTGAGCGGGGTATTTGAGTTTTTCCTAATGTTTCATGCACATGTAGAAAGAAGAGGAAGAAACAAACATTGTTTTCAAGCTTAACGCACAACAGATGTAGGATCAATCTGCGAGGGGAGGCTTCTCGTGTTTGCTTCACTGCACAGCTTAAACGGGAGAGAAAAAAACTGTACAATGGCTACAACTGGATATTTGAGTTCTCTCAGTGTAAGAAAAACTATCCCTCCTCCATTTCAAATGCTGCCATGAGATGAAACGTTGCTCATCTTTAGATGAGTTTGGTTAGAATAAGATGCAACATTTAAGAGATATCAACAAAAGGGCTTTACATCATCCTCATGAAGGCAAATACATGCTCAGTGAATGGCAACCCCAAAAAAACAGCCAGTGGAAGCATTTCCAAACTTAGTTCAAGACCAGCACAACTGCTACATTTCTTTTATAACTGGGGGCATTTCACCCACACACAAATAGGGAAGTTTGAAGACTTTACAGTTTTTGTAGGTGGAGCTGGGATAACCTTCTTCCTTTCAGGCAACAAATTCTTCCCTTTTGTTGTACAGATATTTTTTTTACAAAGTTCTGTTCTTTAGCTGAGCTGTACTGAATGCCCTGGATGTCCAGCAATTTACAACACATAGAAACGGACTACTCATCACACTCACAGCAAGAAAGCTGGTACATTTAACTCCGAAGTAGTTTTCCTTTAGGAAAAATAAGACACCAAAACCCCTCTCTGTACAAAGACATCTCAAATTATACAAACTTGAATTCCATAAGTAGTGTTCCTAATGTACATCTAATATATTAAACCCAGTGCAAAAAAAAACATTTCATAGTTTCCATTTTTTTTCTTCACATATTACCAAAAAGCATTTAATCTAAATGTACAGTAAATAGCTACAAGGTTTCCAAAAAAATGATAGCACAATGAACCATTACACAATTGCACAAACTGCAGTCTACCAGAAAGTTGTTGGATCTGGTTTCGCTAAACGTATCACCTGGTTGTCAAAAACCTTTTGATGGCTAACTACCATTAGAATTTAGGAGCTTTTCATGAAATATCGCATGCCATGTAGAAGCAGGTCTAACAATATGAGCTTTAGTTATATGCAGACCTGGGAAAATATCATTTGTTTAAACAAGTAATTGTTCTACCATGGAGGGTTTGTGGCGAGAATGAATGAACTTTGAAAGGACAGCCTTTGCCAGAGAGCAAAGCAGCTTGAAGTGAACAGATTAGAGAATATGTTGGCGTGAGGCCCTCCCACAGGCTGAGCCACAGAGGGAATGGCATGCATCGCGTTTACAGAAAAACCATTCTGGCTTTGGGAACATCAGGATAGTTAGATGAAGGCATTCGTGGTCCGGACTTGGATAGGTGGCAAACGTTTCCCCAACAAACCCTCCAAGATGTGCACCAACAGTCCAAAGGTCTCTAGACCTGTCAGACCTGGTATCTTATATGAGATGATCATGAAATACAGATTTGTCCAGATTTTCCCAATAGATAGTGAACATACCATGATAAAACATATATCATTTTTTATTTCTATGATTGTTCCTCAGGATAAGTGGCTTTGTTGTCCCCATGCTGATTTATAAACCTATTTATACATTGAGTGAGTGAAAAGTTGAATTAGTTTATCTTTTATTCTAAAATCGAGCTGAGGTTTCGCACTGTTAATCTGAAAACAATTTCTGTCTTAATGGGAACCTTCTCATTCTGACTTTATAAACCGTTTTAGGCAAATATAACAAGCAGAAAACTATTTTAATATGACAGTCACTCAGATGTTTTTCTAATAAAAAGTTGTGGGAGTGTTTGTGAAGAGAACAGATTGAATAAGTGCAAAAGTGACATAAAGTCATGGTTGATATGTTGATTAGTAGCCTCTATCTTCTCTTAATAGGGACTCCCTCTGAGAGTAGACTTTATGATATTGCATTGAGATGTATTGTCAGTATTGTAAACGGCTCCGTTTGGCTTTTGTAGTAGTGAACTATGGCTACTGATGACGAATCACAACAAAATCACACATAGGTGCTGGTACAGGCTGTCTGAGAGGTGATGGGGGGGCGCTCACCCAGAGATGCATGCGCTGTAGTAGACAGCGCTGCTGGCATCAGAGAGCGCAGATATCAGGGGGCTGCTCCCCTCCTCACAGCCCGCCCCGCTCAGCACGCCCACATCCCTGTTGACCCCGCCACCGCTGCTGCTGTCCGCGTTACCGCCGCCGCCGTGGACCTTCGACCCTCCGCCACACGCCCCCTCCAGCCCGTAGGCCTCCTCCCGATTCCTCCCCACGTTCACGTACTGGTCGAACTCGTGTCGGTCCACCTCGGACCAAAACTCGGCGCAAGAGGATCCCATGTGATCGCCGGCCCCAAGACCTGAGGCGTCCAGGTGCACGGGGCGGGGGAAGGCCGACGGAGGGGGCGCGGACGAGGAGGGGCAGGAAGTTAGAGAGGTTTCTGGGGGAGGCGAAAGCTGGCCCAGATGGGAGGAAGTGAAGTGGGTCGCGCCGTGGACGCCGTTCCCGTACAGCTGGCTGAAGTAAGGGACAGGAGCCGCGCTCAGGGCTATTTGCTGGCATTTGACCGTCTCAGGAAGGCTGATGGAAGCGTGAGAGTAGGAAACAGGGGGGGCAGAGTCAGGAAGAGGTAGTGGGCACTTCAGTGGAGTCCTTAAGGAGACCTGGTGACTGGAAGTATTGGGGAGATTTAACTTGGAGCTGGCTGAAGTGACGGAGACAATACCTGAGTTCATGTTTGAATCGACGGAACCTACTCTTGGATCAAGCCTGGAGTTTCTGCTGGGACTAAGGCAGGAGTTCATGGTATTGCTTAAGGTGGAGCTAACATTCATTCCGGGACCCTGCCCATGCATGGAGCCGTGATGGCCGTGGGAGGGGTAGTGATGGCTGTAATGTTGGCTGCGATGGGGCAGATGGTGATGGTACCCATTCCAGCCGCCCATTCCAGCCTCCTCCTGCATGTGCTGGGGGAAAAAAACAGACTCCCCACCTCCATCCTCAAGAACATCCAGAGGGGACATCTCTGGAGTGGGTAAGCCAAAGCTCTCCAGCTCCGGGTGTCCCGGGGCCTGGAGGTCTCTGAAATGCCCCAGCGACGGTAGCAGGTGGTGGGGGTGATGATGGAGCGGGGGCTGGGAGGACGGATGTCCGTAGGCAGAACCTCCAGAGACGCTTTCCACGGCCGTTCCCAGGCCGAGGCCCGGCGCCGCCCCCTGGGACAAGCTGTGCAGCAGGAGCCCGGGCTCGATGCGTTTGAGTTTCTTGGTGGTCTTCTTGCGGCGCGGCCTGTATTTGTAGTTGGGGTGGTCCTGGAGGTGCTGGACACGGAGGCGCTCGGCTTCTTCTACGAACGGTCGCTTGTCGGTGGCACTCAGTGCCTTCCATGACTGACCTGGACAATGTGAAATACCAAATGAATATATATTAGAATCATTACTCAACACCGAATGCTGCTGGCTAGCGAGACGCTGGGGAACCATTAGCATCTCTACACATCGCTGTGCTGATTATAACACAGCACAAGCATGTTTTTCCAGCGGTTTGTAATGGATCTTTGAAAAACACATCCACTTTGATCTCAGCGCCAACGAGCTGATGTATTTATGTCTCGTATTTAATACTTCTATTCAAAAACCGCCTGTGGTTGCAGATGCCAACAGCCTCAAGATCTGCAAAGCAAACTTTCCCCCAGCAACATTGTGGTTTGAGTTTGAGTGACTCTGAAACTTCTAAGCTGCAGATGAGCTCCAGCTGTCCAGTGTGAGTGCAATGAGCAACCAGCAGTGTTAATGTGATGTGTGCATGCAAGATTGAATTGAAAATCAAACCAAAACGCCCTGTTTTACATGCGGAACGCTGCATTTCGGCGCATCACCTGTCTCTAGTGGCTATTCCGATGTTCCATACACTCGACTTAATTGCTTTTCTATTTGCGTTGCGTCTCAAACGTTTTGGGTCAAGCCCACACCTCCTGGATAGTTAAGAAATCCTCATAAAACGTCTACCGAGCGGGGAAAAACTGCAATTGCGGTGAGCCTGTCTGCTACAGTGGATTCCACGTTTTGACAACCTATTGAGTTTGGATTATAATGAGCACATGCTTAGACAGAAGACGAGTGATTTATGAGTGGTTTTGGAAGGTTTCTAAGAATATTTGGGGATTCAAAACAAACATTCCACTTATTTTATCTGAAAAAGACACTTTCACACTCAAAGGAAGAGATTCACTAAGGTTACAGTAATTGATTTGATGCCTATATCTTGGCATTAATTGTTATTTTAGTCTGAGCTTAATGATATGAAGCTGTAGGGTTAAAACTGAACTCATTAACACTAAAAAAAGTTAAATTACTTGGATTACTTGGATACATTCACAGATTTAACACAACCAGTTCTGTTTGACCTCAGCCGCTTTGCTTTTTTGCCCTAAGTTGGCTGAAGCTGTTGTTTTTCTTACCGAGCATCTTGCTGAGGACAGCGTTGTGCAGGTCAGGGTTCTGCAGGGCAAGTCGCTTCCGCTCGTCTTTGGCCCAGACCATGAAGGCGTTCATGGGTCTGCGGATCCTCTGCTCGGCCCCGGCAGCCTTCTCGTCCCCGGCGCCCCCGGTCAGGCCCCCCCCCTGGGTCAGGTCGGGACTCTGGCCCCCCGACGTGGCCGTCAACGCGACCCTGGGCTCTGCTCTCCTCAGGCGTCCCGCCCCCAGGACATCAGGGGAGCTGCAGTCCTCGGACAGGCTCTGCTCGAAACCCATCTCCGGATCGGAGGCGGGACTCGGGGACTCCGACATCCACGGGGTTCCCAGACAAATCTGGGCTTGACCGAGAGGAGTCTTTCTGGGCAAGTTGGGCTCGGTTAAATTCATTCCCGGACCAAGGCTGGAGTCGACTTTAAGTCCGAGTCGGATTCGGGAAATATTTGCGTTGGTTGCAAAACTCTTGAAAAAAAGAGTAATTCAAGTTGTTTGGGACGACCGGCGTGTAGCGGATCGGGAGAGGGCTTCGACGGATTTGGAGCAGAGATCCCGAAGCAAAGCATGGAGGTGTGAGGGGAGGGAGATGACAGGAAAGGAAGAGAAAACAAACAAGCCACGGCTCGGGATATTCTCTGGACAAAAAACCAAACTGAAAACTATCCACTGAGGCTGCCTCTCTCTCTGTCCCGCTGTCACTAGCTGTCGTCGGGAGCTTTATCCAGAACTCGGTTCCCACACGCCGTCCCTCTGCCCGTCCACCTGGTCTGAGAGTTTAGAAACTTGTGGCCAGACCTAACCGACCCATGCTGTGTATATATACCACACCCCGACCAATCAGATACATATATAGCCCGGGACTTTAACCAATGAGACGCCGGGCAGCAGCGAAGGGAAGGAAAGAGTGCATGTGAGAGACACAGCATAAGGGGGAGTTCCAAACCCCCCCCACCCTGGAACACACATCCATGAACACAGACTCTTTCCTACACTTCTACTGCCACCCTTTCCTCCCCCTTGAAGCTTTGTGCGCACACACACACACACACACACACACGCCCTGGATGGGGGAGATGTAATCAGAGAGGTTTCCATTGTTTTTGTCCGATACCGGGACCGGAGCGTCTCACACTCACCCGCACTCACCCACACTCACCCACACTCACCCACACTCACCCACACTCACCCGCACTCACCCGCACTCACCCGCACTCACCCGCACGGGCGCTAGCTAACAGACCAGCTAACAGTCCACACACCAGACCCTCAGCATCACGGAGACCTTTGCTGACAAACCGAGGACCCGTGGTTGTGTTTAACACGGATTTCTGCAAGGCTTCTGGCAGCCCAGCAGTGTGTGTGTGTGTGTGTGTGTGTGTGTGTGTGTGTGTGTGTGCGTCCGAGGGCAGGACGGCGGTAACGCAGGCCACCGCAGCTCCAACCAGAACAATTAGTGGCTGAGATTAACAAAAAGTCTCTGGCAGGAGGCTATCAGGGCGCTGTGGGACCGGGGGGGGGGGGGGGGCACAGTGCACTCTGACTATAAGTTCTATAGGTTTGACTGTAATGTTGAGATCAAATGATCAGTCGATTGTTGAATTCACGGGTTTAATGATGCTTCTATCTGTACTCAGATGGGGGATTTAAGTCCTCTTCTTTTACTGGAGATTCAAATTTTAACAAGCAGGAAAACTACACCTGAACTTAGATGAACAACAACCTAATAAACATTATGTTCTCCCAAAGAGAGATGCAAATTCTTACGACTGAATGGAAAGCTGAGAATAAAACTCCTGCTTTCAATAATTTCCCTCTGGGATTATTAAAGTATTATTAAACTATTTCTGATTTACTGTCAGGCTTTTTCAAATGAAGGGGCTGTTAAAAACACGTATTGTGTGTTGTGTGTGAGTCTGTCTGCCCACGGCGTGCCCCCAGATCGGCCTTCATTCGAACACACTCACACACGCGCGCACACACACACACACACACACACACCTTTTCCTCCCCACACCCAGCTCCATGGGAGGCTCCTGTGGCGTCTGGGATCCTGTTGCTCCACCGACCAGGAACTACTCCCACTTACCAGTGTTATCTTAAGCCCGGCGCGATTGTTTGTGCGCACGTGTGGCCGTTCTAGCCACACTTAAAGTGAGCGTCCAAAAAGTGTCCGAGACGCAGCTAACACGGCTGCCAGTCTGACCGTTGCTCCTCTCTGAGCCTCACTTCTACTTTGCTTTATTTTTTTTTTTAGCGTTCCAGGGACGTCTGCACCACCAAAAAACCAAGCAGGTTGCACAGGTAGTCCTACAGTTGAGTAAGCTGAGACAGAAACTTGAATTCCAACACTTTTTTTTTTTACTTTGTATTTATATTCTTATTTTTTTAGGCTATTCACAGCCAATAAAACATTTAGTGTGTACTTAATCTGTATTTTTTTGTATTTTTTTGCATTTTTCTCTCTGTTGCCACTTTTTCTGCTCTGTAAGCTGCTGGTAACTTTAATTTCCTTAGGGAGTCTTCCCAAAGGGATCAAAAAAGTCCAAGTCTAAGTCTATCCAGGCTTCACCCACTGGGAAACACAAGTTTTTTGTCACAAATGAGTCATTTTATTTCTGCCAGGTCATTTTTTTATGGCGTCTCTGATTCTGAGGATGGTTGATTAAACATGGCTGTTAAGGTGATCTTAAACTCTTCTTCCATCCTCTCTCATCAGGTTTGATCTCTGAGACGTTTGAGGAGCATAGGAATTCCAGAGTGTCCCAGACAGGGCCTGAATAGACTTAGACTTAGACTTAGACTTGGACTTTATTGATCCCTTGGGAAGACTCCCTCAGGAAATTTAAGTTACCAGCATCTTACAGGGCAAAAAAAGTGGCACACAGAGAGCTAAATGCAAAACAAAAACAGATTAAGTACAGGTATACACTAAATATGAATAGCCAAAAAATAAGAAAAACAAAAAGCAAAAAAAATTGTGTTGCCAATCAAGTTTCTGTCAAAGCTTCCTCAACTGTACGCCACACCTTTGCCACAACAGAAATCTGGCAGAATCCTCGGTGAGTAAAAGAGAGAGGAGAGAGAACGGAGGGGAGAAAACATGGCAGGACGTTTTCTGATAATACCCCGCGCACGCAAACAGCCCTGCGCACACACACCGAAACCGAGACACAATGGCCTCACAATGGGTGTGTTTACTTGTGTGTGTGTGTGTGCGCGTGTGGGTGCGCGCACATGTTTATGTGTGGGAGAGGTCATGTTCACACAACAGGCTATTTTTGAACACGCTGAAGAAGGGAAGTGTGTGTCATGATGGATGGGACACACACACACACACACACACACACACACACACACACACACACACACGGACCATTAGCACGGGTTGCTATGGGAATCCCCCACCTTTATCACCCGCTGACACACACATAAACTCAAATGGGCCCATAACCTTTTGCTTTTAAGTTAAGCTGATGTAAACAGGCCCC